GTGACACAGGGAGATAGTGTAGGGAAAACTTCAAGACAGATGAGAGGATATGTTACTCAGTGACTGGATAGCTGATGCTACATTTACTGTGCTAGCCATCTGTTACGTCTAAGAGTCAATTTTACTACAATTTTAGGATGGAAGGAATTAAGTGAACTGCAAAGTAATCTAAAATATTCTTTGTATGTTAAAATCTGGTAAGCAACTGGTTTTCCCCACTCCTTAACTTTTCACAGCCTAAACATGAAGGTCACTGTTTAATGCCAGTTTCTAGGGGAGGAGTTTCCTGGACTCCTTGGACGATGCCGTGAGCTCCCCTGCACACTAGTCATCCCTCTTAGCCTCTCATGTTCACTCTCCCACTAGACCAGTGATGGCGAACCTACAGCAAACATGCCACAGCGGGTTGTTTGTATTACTGAAAGCTCTAAAAGGCTTGCTATCATTGCTCTAGAATATAAAATGCACCTTGGCGAGGGCCTTCACCTAGGCCTTCACCACTCTGTCCTCGTACCCAGCACATGTCTAACAAATGAGGCACATGATGAGTAAATGTGCAACATAGCTACAAATATAGTTCGGATCCAGATGCAGATTTTACATGAAGTTTAAGACACAAATCAAAAGACTCTATTGATGCCATTGTTAGCTGTCCCTCAGACCATAATCCCACATCCTGTGGTAGATGCTCACAGATTTCCCCTCTCTGCTTTCAGCAGTACCTGAGGGAATACTGTTTGAGAAGCCCTGGATTACACATATATAGGTGTCTTCCACAAACAGTACACTAGCAAGCAGTAAGGTGTTCTGAGACTCTCTTAAACACAGTATTACAGGGATATAAAGTCTGTACAGCTTGACCAACCTAATACTTTCAAGTTGTAGGTGAAACTTTATGAGAAGTAGGAATGAATGTCACAGGTGCATTAACAATATTATAAGAACTTAAAAAAAAATCTCCAAATGCATAAACATTCATCTCTCATATGAAAAGGCAAGGGTGGATAGGAGGTTAGAGAAAATATGTTCAGTCTTTTAGCTGGTAATACAAAAAAACATCTCCATTTCATAATGAGAACAAATATTGAATCAGAGCTATGCAGAGATCTGTTTTGCTTGGTAAAACTACTTTCAACCTTTCTCTGTTTTGCAGATCAGGAAGAACCTATGTTTCTATGTCAGTGTTAAAACTGAAATCAATCTGCCTCTGTTTCTCAGCAGCATCTGTCATAACATAACACCATGCTATAGGAGACTGCTACAGGCTGGTGAGTAGCAGCATTTTTAAACAACAATAACAATAGACAAAATGCCACAAAACTTAGAGGGTCACTGATCATGAGGTAGCCTCGACAGGAGAGAAAGAAATGAATTTAAGGCCTTTATAGCTAAATAACAGGTTAGTATATTTTACTGGCTAAATCTAGGGACCTGACAGCCCATCTTCACTGTGTCAAAAACACACTCATCCAACTGTTAAAATTAATAAAATGGTTTCATCTCATTCTTCTAAAATCGGATCCTTCGTTTACTATTTTTTCAACATTGGGGACTTTCCACCAACATAGGTAGATTCCAAATGTTAAGTAAGTCAGCAATAAAATAAAAAGATAAAAACTTAAAGGAGATGTTTAAAAATAGGCTTTAAAAATGGGCCTTAGCGGATAACTGACTGAAAAAGACTACTCTAGTTAAATATATGAATATTAACAGGAAAAAAACCCTGCTGTGCTCATAAATAGTTATGACTTGATAAAATAATTACAAATAATGTAAGTCAAAATTTTAGATTAGTTACAAGTGTTTATAATGATATTTTACCTTACAAAGCAAAACTATTTTAAAATCTTGAAAGTTTCCACTGAAAAGCTATTTATCTCATGAAGAATTTCTGCTCAAATATCTACTACTTTCTGATTTTTTACAAATGAAAACTGAGGATCGACTGCCAGAAGAAAGAGAAACAGAGAATTTAAGTATTAGGACTATGGTTATAAAGCCCACATCTTGTTTTGTTTTTTGGCAGTACTAGGGATAAACCCAGAGCCTTGCAGCATATGCTGGGCAAACCCTACCACTGAGTTAAACACCCACCCTTTCTTCATTTTTATTTCCAGACAGGGTCTCCCTAACTTTCCAGGCTGACCTCAAACTTGTGATCTTTCCACCTCAGTCTCTTGGAGTTACCATTGCGTACCACCGTTCCCAACTAAGGCTTCTAAGGTTATTGTTATTATTAAGTGAAGAGCAACACAATCAGTCTGGTAAAAGGCTAAGAGAAATTAAAGGTTTGTAGATAAGGACAGAAGTGCCCTGCTAGCCTATCTGAACTCTTGTTCTAGTGCAACCAGTCTCTCTAGTAAATAAGCAATGTGAGAACTACCAGCTCCACATGGTGCACATGTGTCCTCTAATTTCAAGGAGTATTTCCCCTCTTCTCACTTGAGCAACAGCAGCACAGAGACATGTGGGGTTCTGCACTCAATCAGGTGAAAGCTGTGTGCTGAGAGTGCTGGCGCTCTAATTCTGTCTTGGACATGGGGCACAACAGGCACCTTCCTACAAAGACTGAGCAGTCACTGTGGTAGGAACTCAGGTCTGACCTGGCACCTCTCCCCAACAAGCTCATGACTAAGTTCATGATTCACAATGGGCAAGTGTTTCACAGCCAACTGTAAGCACCAACAGACTTTTTTTTTCTAAAGTAAATGTATTTGTGTTTCCCTCTATGACAAGAAGATTTTCCTCTTTTCATTCATCACCCTCTCAAAGAAATCCACTCCACAAATGTAAAGTTCAAAACAGTACATGTCCTGCCTTTACCATGTTAACCTTAAACATGTGTCTTTGCCAAACTGAAGATTCTTTTACTTCATGAGGCCAGATTTAATAAAGCAATTGAAAAAATTTCTTATTTTAAAAAGCTTTTTGGGTTAAGAAAATGGACAGTATAATTTATGTAAATGTATTAATCTCAATTGGCTTCACTAGTAAGAAAAGGAATAAATAATGCAGATCAACATTTCTCAGATAATGAGTCCTAAGTCTTTGCCAAGGATATGGTAAAGAGGCTGATGGAAATGGCAGGGATGTGTTCACAAAGGTGAACATAAATAAATGTATGCATGACAAATGCGGATGCTGGGTAAAGATACAGATAAACAGGTATAAGATCAGACAGAGATGGCTGGAGACAGAAGGAAGACACTGGCTCAGCTGTATCCCAATGAGTTCATAAGGGTTTTAAGGTCTAAAAAAATCGGTGACAGCAGAATTTTTATAATGAAGGTTTAAAAAGTTCTGTCTCATTCTTGGATAATTCATAATGATGCATTCTTGAATATAAAAAAGCATATCACAAAATACACAGTTATGTTAAAAAACTGGAGACAAAACAAGAAAAAAAAAACCCAAATTCTAAAAGAGGATGAGTACTTATTAAATAACTGTGTGTATCTGAAGCTCTTTAAAAGCTGTTAGATTAGTACCTGGAACCCCAAAACATCTACTTTCCCCTGAAGGAGAAGCGATGCCTCTTCAATCATCCCCTAAATGCAAAGAGGTTTGACCCCCATGCAATAGATAAAAGTCACCCAAAAAATGAACAAAAGAGGTGTTTGGAAAAACCAGAACACCATTCATCCCAGCTAACGACTTGTTCATTATGAGTGATGATGGATAAAGACTTCTCATGCTGAGATGAAATCAAGATTTATATGCATTGTTTCCTCTCCCAACTTGTGGGAAGATCATCATCATTTAATTCTATCTCTGCGGCCAGTGATGGGCATCCAGAGAGCTGGTTATCAAACGGCGCAGTCAGCTGGCAAAAGCCGAAACGTGCAGTTGGCACATCTGGACGGAGCCGCCACAGCCGAGGGTGAACAATGACTCCTGGCAAGCATCCAAATTGCTTGCAGACGCTAGCAGGTCTCATCTACAACCGCCCCTACCAGCATCTCTCTCTCTCTCTTTTTTATGAGAATCAGATTTTCATTGCTCCATTCAATTGCTCTCCTCTGCCATTTTTTACAGCTCTTATCGTTCCCCTGGAATATGGCCTTGAGACAGCTCATCCGTGTCCTTCACTGTGTTATCTCTTCTAACTTTTATTAAAACTTCAGCTTTCATCTGAAGATAGCTAATTAAATCTGGAACAGATTATATGCCTCCCCTTAAAAAGAGCACAAAACTATTTTCTTCAACCTGTGCAGTGCTTTTTTTCTTCTTTCCAAAAGGTGAAATCAAAGGTTTATAAGAAGTCTCTTTATTTACAAAGCTAAGATATTTGACATGTCATATACAGGCTGATTTATGGTAAAGTTGTCTGTGGTATAACAAATCTTTAAGCTATTTCTCAAGATAATTCTCAATACTGGTAATATTTTTTTCCTACATGCTTTAATTTTATAGCTAATACCATAGGACTATTTTCTACATAAACTTGGGTAAGGAAGAGTTATTTGTGCATAAAAGGTTAATTACCTTTTTCAAAAAATTTAAGTTTCCCTTAACTGGTAAAAACAAACAGAAATTTTTCTTTTTTCCATTCCCCAAACACTAGTAACTAAAAGTTCTCCCATTGAAAATTATGTGAAAACATGAAATTAAAAGCAGTGATTCCAGTTCAGGATTGATTCTGTTTTTAAGACAGTCTTATATCAACTAATGGTTAGCACAAATAGCTCTGTCTTAATTTACCCACATTATTAATGACAGAATGTCCATAACTGATGTAAACACATTCTTCTCACATATGCCACTGACCCAGTCCCTTTCTGAGGAACAGGGGAAGCTAAAAAAAGACAAAAAACAAATCACCTGTTTTTGGGGGGGGGTGTTTTGTTTTTGTTGTAGACTGGCTAACCAGATCTTCTGGCAATCATATCTGAAACAATTTAGGCAGCTGTCAGAACACACACACACACACACTCATATCTTAGGCTCTTTTAACTAAGGATTAAGCTTCCATTGCCAGGGTATGATTTTAATTAACTCACCTGAAATTTTCTGGGATCCTTTTCTTCGCTTCACTGCCTTTAGCAATATTTCCTTCATGGTGACCTTTGTGTTGTCCACCTGAATAAGGGAGAATCCATGAGCAGCATTTCTGTGGGAAAAGACAAATATTAAATCATCCCCAGCATTCCTCTGTAGAGATATTATTAAAATTTTCACTGTGTTTTAAAGTAAATATAGATCAATGTGCCAAATGTTCAAAAATGGGTCGAATAACTCTACTTGTAGGCTGGGGAGTGATGCATTCTAGTATAAGCAGTTTCATGTGAAAGGGAGGTTATGGTTAGGGAAGGTTTTCCTCATTTATCTCAAACCGAACCTAACTGGTCTGTGTGAGTTAGTTAAATCATGGGTTCCTTGCAGCAAGGACTGACAACTGATAAAATTGGCTTGTGTAAGCAGACATCACTACAGTGAGATACTGCCACCATCATAATAAGCTCATGATGCCCCACAGATATATATATCTATATATCTATATCGATATATAGATATATCGATATAGATATATATTCGGTAGGAATGGCTTCATCTATTTAGTCCTAGCAAGTCAAACCAAACATTAGTGAAGCACAAATAATTTTAAGAGAAGACACTGACACTCGTAAGCTTCTGATCAAACTGGGTGGGAGAAGGCGTCATCTAGCTAGGAAAAGAAGTTAAGGAACAAGTACTCTAAAAACAGCAACCTATCTCCTGGGTGAGGTATAATCACCAAGACACTTAATTGCAATAGCAAGTATCACAAATACTACCCACTATGTTTGGGCACTGGAACAAAACAGGCCAATTCCAAGTAGCTCATGTAACAAACAGGACCCAAGTTTCCAACTATGGAACATGGGAATTGCCACAAGGAATTTGGTTGCATTCCCATTTCCCCATAAGAATCTCAAAGAGGAACATGGCCAAACATGGCAGAACTTCATACTGACAAGAAATCTGAAAGAAAAGCCAAGCCCCAAGCTAAGCCCTGGAAAAGCTCCCCAAGATAGGTGGGGAAGGGGCCTGAAGCCTAGGCTGGACCCAACCAGGTGGCTGGCTCACCACAGGGGTTCGGAGCAATCTCAAACCTGAGAACCCAATTTGCTTCCCTAATACAGAGACATCTCTACAGTCCTCCTCTCCATACGGCTTGCTGTTTAATCCTTGACATTCCATTTGTTAAAAAGCAAAAGCCGATGCTGGTATGGCCAGCATGATCATCCATTTTAACTTGGTCAAGTTCTTGCTATCGAACAGCAGGCCTGAGAACTGTCAAGCTAATTTTACTGAACACTCTGTTACTGAATCATGCCTGAGCTCCAGCCATTCTTTACCTCACAAGCTGGACCCCAGCCCAGAACAATCTTTAAAAGTTTATTTTACTGATCAAAGCAAAATAAGAAATAGCTCTTTTTAAAAAAACTATATTTAGGGAGTGATGCAGTAAGTGATACTTTGGCAAGAGTACTGAAATGTAAAGTGCCTTGTGCATTTAAAAACTTGGGGTATTTGCTCTGGCGCTAGGCCAGTGTGTGTTTGGAACAAATGCCTATCAGCCACGTTCAGATTTGCCTTCCCCTGCTCTCTCCTCAGACGTCAGTATGTGCTCCATCTGTGACAATATGTTGGGCGATGGAGTGGGGCCGAAAGGCAACACAAGTTCTTAGGTTCTCAAAAACTAGTTCTGGCCTAAACCTCATGAGCTCCCCGTCCACCTGGTCCTACCTAAACTACTGTAGATTTGAGCTGACTCATAAATTGCTTACAGTTTCCTCTGATCTGCTGCTGGCTGATAGCATTACTTCAGCCCAACACATTTACCTTTTTCAGCAAAGGCAGACTAAAAGCTCAAAAAGAAGCCTGTGTTTGGACTAACTTCCATAAATTAAAAGTGTCCTTTTAAAAGATTTTTGAACATAGGAAAATCCCCAGTCTGTATTTTTCTGTCATTTTACCAAAACGTACCTAGGTGACAAGGTTAAAGCAAGCAGAGGAAATCCCTGGCACTTATCATCCACAGGCATTACTGATAAATTGTGTGGTAGAGGAATAAAGGATTACCTTCTGTATTTTTTCATTACACTTTTCTTTTGTTACAGAATACATAAATCCATTGTGGCACAATGTAATATGTATCACCATGCTACACCTGCGGACGCTTCCGAGCGGCTGCCATGTCTGTGCAGTCAGGAATGATAAGTGAACCACCCGTGAATGTTAACGATAGTGATCATTCTGAGGTAACTCGGCTCTCCATCTTCCTTTACAGCCTCTGTGCTGAAGCCAGGGTAGCAAGGTTCATGAGAGGAAAAATGAAAACAACAGTGAAGGGAAGGGGCACATGCAGTACTCAGAAAGGGCCTTCACGGGGGTGCAAGATCTTACTCCAGGGCTCCATTTCTGTAAAAACATGCAATTTGGAAGAAAAAGGCTCTGCCCCTATCCTGCACACTCAACCAGACCTAATGAAAGTCTCCTCAGGTCCATCTCACACTCCACCACTCCTTCCCCTTCATACCAGTGCAAACTTTGGATCTTGTTCCATGTTTACAGCACTGCAGAGTGGTAGAATGGGCAACATCTTGGCTTTTGAGGGATACTCGTATCCACTTCTAAGATGTATGAGTATGAATGTTAAGTGATTCTCAGTACCCATCTAGGTGTAACTGTTAACTTATGCTTCCATTTAATAAATGGAAATGGAGACTTGCTACTACAATTTTCAGCTTGACTTCCAAACATTCTGGGTTTTATGCCTCATTTCTTTACACCCAGGGTTTTTTATGGGCTTTCTAAAAAGTCTATTGAAATACATCTTTTAAAACCGCTCTTATGTCACTGGAGGGCACTGAGTCTGAGATTGAGAAGACAACAATCTTGAGGGAAATGTGTGCTACTAGTCCCGCCTCCCTTCCTCTGGGCTCTGATCTGCATGGGGGTGACCAGCCCAATACACAGATGCTGCTCTGATCTCTGAAACGACTCCCTTTGTGAACAGGCAGCTTGCTTCTCCCAGGCAGGGCCCTCTGCAGGTGCAGGAAGAGGTAACTGCTTTCCTGAGCCCGAGGGCTGCCTGTGCTGGTGCAGGATGAAGCTCCACTTCAGGGAGCTGACTAAATACTGCCAGAAGTGCTTCAGTCAATTCAGAGCTAGGCCCTGTCAGGTCTGTAACCACTGAAAAACGTATGGCCATTTTAAAAAGTGATTACTCACTTGAAGAATTCAGCGCTGTGTCTGTGCAAAGACCACAGAGAAGTTCTGATACCAGCATTAACGGGACACAATGAACGTTTCCCTACTAAGTAGTAAAAGAGAGATGACCGGAGACAAGAAACAGGCACAGGTCTTCATCTGGACAGCTCCGATTCTCTGTATAGGGAAAGAGCTGGAACCAAAGCCCAAGTTGAAAGACAGGATATTGGAGAGCAAAGTACATGGGCTAGGAATTAAACACCCTTTGAGAGAAATCCTGATTCCACAGCTAAGCAAAATGTTGCCCTAAGGACCTCAGCAAAGGAGCTTCTGAATGTTATTTATGTTTCCTTGACCTGAGTCATCATCCCAGGAGAAGAGGCCCCAACACACTGGCCCCCAAGCTTCTACATACATTGCTTATGAGGAAGAATGGCTCTCAACACTCACTGCATGTAACTGGTAACACAAGGGCATTAAAATATGTGTTTGCTGGGCTTAGTGGCAGCATTCAAGGAAAGTGTCAGCAAATAGCCTCAGGTACCAGCATCTAAAACCTCCCTGAGGCTCAAGGGACAGCAATCTGGGCTCAGTTTTCAAAGCTCTCCTCTTTGACGGAGTAAAATGTTCTACTTTGACTTAATTCATTACATCTTGGATGGGGATAGTGGAAATAAAAAATCATGGTGCTTGTGAAAAGAAATTCAATGAGATTTACTAAGAGCTTTTTGATTTGCATAGTATACTGTTCACTGATTAATGATTACAAAAAATAATAGCTGTAACTACTACTTATTGAACACTTACTATGTGCCCAGTGCTGTTTTAACCTTTCTTTAAAAAATTTATACTGAATTCATTTAATTCAGTAACAGATACTATTATACCATTTTATAAAAACTAAGGCTTGAGGCATCAGGGAATTTATCTGAGGTTACTCATCTATTAAAGATCCTATTTGGGATTCAGAAATCAACAATATGGTCCTTAAATTATGTAGCACAGCCCAGTGGGAGAGAAAAAGAACTTAAGAACCTAAAATCAGAGTTCTTACTTCTTGGTAAGCATAAAGAGGGAGCCAAGCTTAGAGTGCTGCTGAGACCCAGGGCTCAGAGAAGCTTTCTAGTGTGGTTTAGCTCTACACCATGCCATGAATGATGCTGGCAACATCAGAAAGTAGCCAAGCACAGCAAGCTCCAGAATAAAGCCGTGCTTTCACAGGGTAAAGGATATAATCACTCTGACTTCATTTTCTCGTGGACAAAATGGGAATGATAATTATCCTTAGACTGTAAAATTGTACTTCCAAAGTGTTTACCATATAACTCCATTGTAGATATCTAATAAGCAATAACTAATAATGATAACTTTTTTCATATATAGAGAGAAATGATACACAACGGGGGGACAAGGAAAATAGTCAACATTTACTGCGCACTTCTTTGTTTACATAATTACTCACCAAAAGTAGGTCCCATTTTATAGCCAGAAATTGAGGTTTGGCCAGGATAAGAGCCTTGCCTAGAGTTACGAGAAATGTTAGTAAATTACACTGGAGGATCCTGGAAATGACTTCAATAGTGAGCCTCCAAAGCCCGTGTTCCTAACTCCTCATAGCTCAGAAGGGAGGCTGAGGGATTCTGGGAAAGAAGAAACTTTCAAAGAGCACATCCTCCAGATTGGAACCCCTGACCAATCTGTGGAAAAAGGATGAACTCCCAGTATAGCACATTCAATTTGAATAACAATGTTCTGACTCTCAGGCTAACCATATGGCCTATTAAGATCCTTTTTTAAAAAGACTGAAGAATGTCAAGGTTTCACGGGCCACACTTCAGTTTCCAAGGGGAAAAAATTGCCACGAGCAGTGCTTGGGTCTCTAGTTCTGACCAGATCACAATAGTGATGAGGACA